AAACTTTTCTTCGCATGTGAACTTATAGAGCAAAATTTGTTCTACAAAATGTGATATTTGAGTCTATTTTTTTTTATTCTAATAAAATACCTAAATTATTGTTTTCCTATTAGCCGCATTTTTGAAAAATTGATTTTTTGATCAAAATTCAATTCTGGTAGATATAGCTCTTGAGAATAGTGTTACAAGTAACTGAACAATATCCTGTCGTGTAATTTTTTTTTTTTGTTAATAAATTTGTTTCGTCCTTACATGACATCTATTTCCATGATATCAGATAATAATATAACACGATCACGAGCTTCACGAATAGAATTTTTTTTCGTTCTGTATACGATAACAATGAGAGGTGTGCGTAAACCAGTGTTTCTAATGGCAGGTGTACCCAGCAGAAGTAAAGTGTACTGGACACCTGCTATTACAAAAATACACGCTGCGGTACACTTGCTTAAAAATTTAGAGTGTACAAGGTACACTTTACCAAGTGAATATACACTTTGTTTTTTTATATATTGAGAAGTATTTTTATTCTTACACATTTACTCTGAAATAATCGATAATAGTGGCATCTTTCAGTCCTCTCTGTGATTTGCGCTATATGACTGCCTTTTTTCTCTTCATTTCATTCATATATCGATATCAAGCATTTCACTTTCAATGTTAATTCTTGACGAGTCTAGTCAAATATTTATCGTTCATTTTTCTTTATCTTAAAAAGAATTTTAATATTATTTTTTCTAATTTCAGATTATATATGAACAAATCATGAGTAATAATAATGTACAATTGAAACTGAACGATATATGGAAAAACATACAGCCACCTTCAGTTTCGTCTTCGCCATTTTCATCATCATCACTCAATTTCATATCACAAACAACATGCAAAGGTGACGAACAAGGTGTTTCATGTCAAGGTGATGTTCGAGGGAGAGGTGGTGAACAAGCTACAGATAGTGGTGAATTATCTAAAGATAATGAACAAGCTAAAGATGGTGGTGAATTATCTAAAGATAATGAACAAGCTAAAGATGGTGGTGAATTATCTAAAGATGATGGAAAAAATGAAGGTCTTGCTCAACTTGGACGTAGTGCACAAAGTCAAGATGATAAACAGTCTAAAGATCTTATAGAATTTAAAGGTGATGTACAAAATGAAGTTCTTATTCAACTTGAAAGTGGTGAACAAACTGAAGATGTGCGACAACATGAAGGTGATATTCAACTTGAACGTAGTGGAAGCGAAAATGAAATCGAAGTCTTAAATTGTAACGAAGAATTATATAATAATTGTTCAGATAATATACATGATCATAATTATTTATCATCTACCTTTAAACAGAAAGAAAAGAAACGATCATCTTTTTTTTCGCAACGTCGAAAAAAATATTCACCCGAATGGGAAAAAAAGGTTGAAGCTCAGTATAAAACTTATATATTAGATCCTTATGGTATGAAACAAGAAAAATATTTATGTTGGTTGTATTTCAATGGTACATCCATGCATTGTCGTTTATGTGAAAAATATGGCAAAATAAAGAATTTGAATGGTAAGATTTAATTTGTTATAAAATTATTTGTTATACTTTCATGTATAGTTGCAATTAATTTTTTTTAAATACATTGATGATAATATTTTCAAACGTATAAAATATAAATTATTTTTATAGGTAAAGATAATATTTGGTGCACGAATGGTATGACCACCTTTTCCTTGCACCAAATCAAACGTCATAAAGAAGAAAGTGGTGTCCATAAACAAGCTGAAGAAGAAGAATTAACTGTTACTGGGGGTAAACAACCTGATTGGATTACAACTCAAAAGAAAATTCTTAGTAAACACGAACAAGCAATAGAAAATTTAATGTTGTCGTGTATTTATTTATGTCAACAAGACCATCCACTAAATGATATTGAACCTTTATCTGCTCTATTAGAAAAGGTTGGTATTATGTCACTTCCTGCAGAAACAACAGGAGTTAATTATCGAAATGATACAGCTGCTTTATGTTTTATACAACATATAGCTGCTTGTCTTCATTCTGAATTAGTGGAGAAAATTAAAAAAAGTCTAGTTATAGGTATGCTAGCCTTGTAGTATATTTTTTAATTATTGTTTTCTAATTTAACAGGTTGGATGATGGATGAAACCACATCTAGATCTGCTGAAAAATCTTGTATCATTTATGTACGATACACGGAGAATTTCGAATCAAAGACATCTTATTATGGTTTACTTGAATTAGATGGTGATGGAACTGCAAACAATATTGTCCAATCACTCGTACATTTATGGGAACAAGATGGTATTAATCCAGTTAATACCTGTTGGATTGCTAGTGATAATGCATCCACCTTCACCGGTGAGCGTGATAGTATTTTATTTTGAACTCTTTTATAATACGACGAAGGACAATTTTAGGTATCCATGAAGGTGTTATCGCTAAGCTGAAACAGCTTTTTTCAATCGAATATATAGAATCATCTCCGTGCATGGCTCATTCTTTTGCTCTTGTTGGTAGTCAGGCTGCCTATACATCAAAAGCTCAAAGTATGCATTTCGTACGTTATAATTTTACTAATTGAATACTCTCTTTTATTTTAGAAGGACAAAAACCTACCCGAGCACCATTTATTGAAAAACTTGAATCAACAATTGGTGAAATACACAATTACTTTGGTCGTAGTGCTGGACGACAGTTTAAATTAAAAACCTGGCAAGCATTTATGGAAATGCCAGAACTGAAGTTTAAAAGAATATTTGATATTCGTTGGTCATCAATCAGAGGCTGTATTAAACCAATAATTGATAATGTTCAACCAGGTCTTTAGATACAAATTAGTTATGATATAATATTTTAAATTTTTTATGTTTTTTTAGGTTCTCAAGCACTTCTTACCTGTTTACAAGAAACTACATTGGACATTAAATCATCAAATGCAGATAAACAATATGCAAAAAAATTGTTAGAGTTAATTCTTGATGATGAATTTTTATTTCATTTACATATGCACCACGATTTGCATGAAAGTGTTCTGGGTAAGTTTATATATTCTTCAGATAAAACTGCTGCAAGAATGTTAATTTTGTTTTTTTTTGACTTCACATTTGAAAATGTTAGGTCCAATAACAAAATGCATGCAACATGATCAACTATCATATTTTAATTTAATGAATACAATAAAAGAAAAACGAACAATTTTAAATCATTGGAGATCTGAATCAACATTAATTATGGGTCCAACACTAACTGATTATATCGAAGCAACAGAATTAGGATCATTTGGTGGTTTTAAGATCAAATTAGGTGATCGTGTTATGTTTTTTAATGACTGTCATAAGCATATCCAACGCTTACTTCAAGAATTAGATAGACGATTTAAACCATCTATAGTTCAAGAACATTTATCTATGCTGTTTGATGTTCAACATTTAATAAAAAACAAAAATGAATTAGATTCAATAGAATATGGTCGCGGTAGCTTAGATACTCTTCGAAAAAAATATAAAAATTTACCAGATTTTGATTATAATTTAGTTAGAAATGAATGGGAATCATTCAAACCGATATTATTTGATTATATACAAAATATTTCATATGAGGTTTCAGAGCAACAATTTTGGAAAAATTTTATTACTTTCAAACTATCAACAAATAATTCTTTTATTGATGAATATAAAGATATTTTAATTTTACTTAACGTTTATTTGATTTATCCCACGAATTCAGTGGAATGCGAACGTGGAGTCTGCTAATTTTCTACTTTAACATTTTTCCATTTTATGATTCTTTTCTCTTCTAGTTTTCAGCAATGAGTCGAATTCAATCTATTGGAAGATCTCGATTGTCAATATCTACTTTACAGGTTTTAATGACCGTTCGTTTACTTTTAAAAGATGATGTCAGAAGGTAAGACACTGAAACCTTTTTTTTCTGATATATACAATAAAGAACTATTTTTCTAGTGTTCGATGTCAACAAATTGTCGAAAAGGCCTTTTTATCATGGAATGATAAAGATCATTCTCGTCGTCTACGTCAAGTACAACTGTTAGCAGATGTACCTGTTGATTATCAACCAACTAAACAAGCACGATCAGTTGCTAAACGAAATTTATCAATAATGAATTTGAAAGAAATCTGTAAAAAATCTAAAAAAACAAAATCACGTGCAATAAAATGTATGTAACAATTATTCTTTCTATTCTCACAATTGGTCTTTTTCTAGGTGCAAATGGATGTCACACTAATATAGCTCAAGATGATCCAGTTCAACAAGATGCAATACAATGTTGCCACCAAGCCGATCAATTCAGCTGGATCGAATTTGAAGATGGTTGTTCAAGATGGTTGTGTAATGGCTGTCGAATAAAATTAAATATTACAACAGATTCAATTTGGCTTTGTTCAGATCATATCGATATGCATATTGACAGTGATGAAAATGAAAATGAAAAATAATAGGGTTGTTTATTGAGAACATTGTATATTACATAGTAATCTATATCAAAATTTATGTTGATTTCTTATTCCAGTTTTTTTTAATTTACACTTTATGTATTTATGAATCTATCAAATGTAAATTGTACTTGTGTATCTATTATTTGTTTGTTTGAAATTGATGTATTATTTTATAAAAGGAAAATAAATGAACCTGATTTATTTTTCATGTTTTTGTAGTAAATGAACCTTTGTTTGAGTACACTTTGTACACTTACCATTTAAAAATAAAGTGTACACGTACACTTTGTTTTAAGAAAATAGAGTGTACGGTACATTGTATTTCAGATTTCCATTAGAAACACTGGCGTAAACTACAGTTGATCCAAAAATATCATAAGATAAAATTCGAATTAAAACTGATTAGATTTTATCTAATGAGAAAACAGGGTAGATTTTTATATATATTTTTTTAAATTAATTATCTTACTTCTAAGAGTGTTCGAAAATAGTAGAAAGGTAAGTAAATAAGATCTTCAAAACAAAGATTTTTCTTTTTGTGTTTAGATAAAAATTTCCTATACGCTGAGAAATTAATTTCTAACTCTACATCATATGATGAAATCTAAAGATTTATTTTCACTTTGACTATTTTTATATTTATCATGGTATAAAATTAAAAAATTTCATTCATCTTATCATTACGTGAAAATACATAATGATAGTATTAAAAAAAATGGCAAGAAAATAAAATAATTAAACATAAAATGAACCATCTTGTATTACACAAATATGTGAGATAGATGATTGCGGTTATTTATGACGAAAATATTTTATGACAGAGATACACCTATTACATCAATTAGTGTTGAGAAACAGTTTTTCCAACTCGGCCGTGTTTTTTGCGATCGACGAATGTATATAGAACGAAACTTATTGAATAAAATTTTTTTGTTTCGATGAAAATACAAGATAAGCTTGAATGATGAGTAACTTAGTTATTTTTCTATTCTTTTACGTTTATTGTCATTATTATCGTAGTCGAAGTTATAACGGCTATATTAGCAGTATATATATATGAACATATACTTTTACTTTACTGTTATTATTGATTTAAAATTAAATTGAAACACTGTAAGATTTAAGTAGAGTAGAGTGAAATAATTTTAGACAAAAAAAAAGATCACTTTTTTCACTTGTATTTGTTATAACTCGATCAATTTTTAGAATTTTCTACCATTTTTTTTGCAGACTTATAAAGAAATGTTAGCTCTACAAATTCATCTAGAAATCATGAAGAATCGATTAATCGAAGTCGTTCAATTGCTTTTTTTCTAGTTACTTGCACAAGTTATCTGTAATTACTTCATGTTAAGTAGTTTCAGATTCACAGCCATTTTACATAAAATCACTGGAAGTCAGTTTTTTCTTCATTCTTATAAGATTGATTAGTAATTTTTTCACAATTAGATAGAACTAATGATTATCTATAATCCATGAGAATCTTACTGCAAAACTCATTAAGTAACTG